ACAATCTGTTTGTGCGGAATGATTCGCACCGCATGAAAAATTCGTGGTACGTTTTCAGCATTATGAATAAAATCTTCAAAAGGCGCATCAATTAGTCCAGAGCATGGGCAACTTGGCAGTTTTCAACTTCCCAGAACTTTGCAAAAAATGATCCAAGATAAAAACTTTAGCATAAAAAACTTCTTCTAACAAACCTTAGGATTTCAATCTCTTCAATGCAGTATAAAAATTTCTTGTCAAAAACTATTATTTCGATCGCCGCAAATTGACTGAAAACAAAAACCAACCCTAGAATAAATAATCCGTTGCGTCAGTGTGCTTGTAATGTTCTGAATCTATACTTGAGAACATGTAGAAAAAAGTGTGAAGTAAAAATTTGAAAACAATTCATTTTTGGTTTTTATCTACATCGTGTATATGTAGTGCACTCATTGTGAGGAAAAAATTTTATACCCAATTCCGAAAGAAAAAAATGGCATTCAGTAAGTTTCAATCTATTTCAAACTGTACATCCTGAAATGGCTTTATACCTGTGCAAAAACAATTTTTTTTAAATTGTTTTCAATTTTTTAAAAAAGTTTGCTCCTTAAGATTGATAATTTGGAAGTTTTTAGCTAATGATTATTTTGAAAGAGCGCAAAAGATAAGCTATGAAATGGCAAAAACAACTACTGTAACGAAACTACAGAAAAGAAAAGCGTATTTTTTGATGCTTGTTGTTTGAAAAACGCAATAACTGATCAAAAAACCTATTCCAGGCAAAAAAAGTTTCACGTTTTTAGCACGGATTGAACCACACTATTAGAACATATCTAGGTTTACAGCACAAAAAAAAGATTATACATAACCTAAAGTGGATAAATCATGAGCAATCTCTTGAGAAACGTCAAACCTGTTTCCAAATTTTTAGATATTTTTTAATCTTAGCTTTGAGCTTTGAATAGATTAGATATTGCAGGTTTTTTTAAGTAAAATAGGAATTGCACTGATATTTTTCTTGCCGTTTACAAAAATTAAAAGATGTATATTTTTTTAGTGTATATAACATATCAATGGGTTATAATTTTAGATTATTTTTTGTGTTTAGTTAAATTTTAAGGCGGAAGAAGGAAAAACTTTACATTCAATTTGTAACATTGGTTGTCTTGGTGAAAATCTCCGACCATTTTTTGTATATTACTGGTGAAAATTGGAAAAAAATCTCATAAATTGTTCAATGAGAACTTAAGCAGTTTCTGAAAGTATTTGTTCCGTATTGCATTAAATAACCTCATGGTTCTTTTGTCAAACAGAAATTTTTCAATTTTTCTCAAAAATTCTAGATAATTTCTCTGAAACTCTCTGAAAAATATCATACACAGCTCGTTAACACAAAAAATCCACGTACACGAAATCTCAAAAATTTTTCAATAGGGACAGTTTAGGATAATAACAGCATTCAAATCTTCCAAATGCCTATTAGAGAAAGCGTGTGCTCTCGTGCATATCAAACATATCACTCAAAAGATCACTATGTACTTAACATATCATGCGACCAAAAGTTAGTCTCGATAAGTTTGAGAAAATAAAAAATGATTCCAAAGTTAGGAGTTTTTTTCTTCAAATTTAATAAATCTTCTTAAACAGAATTTTCAAAGCAAAAAAAAATTTCAGCATCAGCCAATTTAGGGGCGCGGCGCGAATACCCTCTCCCAAGAGACTCGATAGTATGACGACTCGAAGGTCCCCCTTTGAAATTTTTTAATGATACCCATTTTTGAACGACAGACTCAAACTCTTTTCAATGGGCATCAATGGCGCTAATTTAAAGTGCATTTGACGAAGAAGTGCGCTGAAAAACGCAATTTTCTGGTCAAAATTTTTCAAAAAATTAAAAACGCCATTTTTCGTCTGCTATTTTTTAAAAGTGAATAACTCATCCTTGTTGGGCGGCAGTCCAAATGAAATTGCTTCCAGTGTCAAGAAATTTGCAAACGTTCACATTTTTTAGTGCAGTACTTCATACATCTGCCCTGATTAGTTTTAGAATATTAAGTTCTAGTTCATTAGGGATTCGAAAGTGCGAAAAGCTCCTTATTTTTCTTGCACTCTAAATTCGTCAAGAATGTTCACAAGGACCTTTCGCTCGTTCTCTTGTTTCCTCAGATATTGCATTTTTGAAGAAATTCCTCTATAGTTGAATCTTGTCATCGCCATTATAGCTGTGCTAGAACTTATATCCCCGGGTTGACCTCCATACACCGGAAAAGCTTATCATACAATTCCATACAACAAAAATCATTATCATACAATTCCATACATCATTGGTATGGAGAAAATGCTTGCCATACAATTTTCGAACATTTTCTAAAATCAATAGAAATTAAAAGCTAAACAATTTCTGCGGCTTTTTGAAAACAGTTCAACAGACTGTTGACGGAAAAAAATGACTTTGAATTTTTTAAAAACAAAAATTGCTTACCATACAATTTCCATATATGATAATTGTATGACAAGGAATTTCGCCATAAGGGATAATTTTTCAAACTGTTTTGCAAACCTTTTAATGAAAATTTCAAATGAGTTGTGAAAACTTCATAATTACTTTTTCTGAAGGATGAGAACAAATCAGACAACTCAGAGGATCCCCTCTTTGGAAATATTCAAGGACATCTATTTTTCGAAACACAGAGCCGAAAGTTTTTACAGGGACACCTTTGGCGCCAATATAAACCGCATTTGAGAGAGAAGCGTGCCAAAAAAGCAACTTTCTTGTCAAAAATTTCCGAAAACTTAAAAAACGCCATTTTGGTCTGTTTTTTTTAATTGACTGCGGCGCAAAAAATGCATCACATTGAAGTCTATATAGTTAATTGCGATATCTCAGAAAATCATCTTGGGCAATCTGAGAAAAATGTCTAAGCTTTCAGAAAAACTTCTGAAAATCTGACCCCTCTCTTTTTTTCTAAAAGGTTTAAAACATTGATATGACTGCTATTTTTGAAAAGCTCAACATTGAAACCAAAACTACGTAAATGTGTACAAGTGATCACTTGTACACATGTGCATAATTGTAAATTCAATTTAAAGGTAGTTGTCGAGAGTAAGTTTTGGTTTCAATGTTGAGCTTTTCAAAAATAGCAGTCATATCAATGTTTTAAGCATTTTTAGAAAACAGGGGAGGGGTCAGATTTTCAGATATTTTTCTAAAAGCTAAGACGTTTTTCTCAGATTGCCCAAGATGATTTTCTGAGATATCGCAATTAACTATATATAGACTTCAATGTGATGCATTTTTTGCGCCGCAGTCAATTAAAAAAAACAGACCAAAATGGCGTTTTTTAAGTTTTCGGAAATTTTTGACAAGAAAGTTGCTTTTTTGGCACGCTTCTATCTCAAATGCGGTTTATATTGGCGCCAAAGGTGTCCCTGTAAAACATTTGGCTCTGTCATTCAAAAAATAGATGTATTAAATATTTCCAAAAAGGGATCCTCTGAGTTGTCAGGTTATCAAATATCTGGGGAGAAGGTATTCGCCCAACGCCCCCTTACATGGCTTAGGAACACTGCTGATCTTTTTTTTTCAATGTTGAAAGTTTTATCAGATAAAAAAAGCCTGGACTAAAATGTTTTATTAGCATAAAAAGAAAATGAAATCCAAAATTTGGAAAAAATTATTTCATTTTCTTAAATATTTGCAGATTTTTTTGATAATATTTTTTTTGTTGTTGCTTGTCTGTCCAAACCAATTTGCAAGGTATCGTTACATTGATCAATTGTCAACAAAAAACTTGCGATCTTTTAACCTGTTTCATATTTTTTTTGAATCAAAAAATGAAAATATGAGGCAATACATCGTACAGAACTTATCGGACTGTGTCTTTGTTTCAAGTTTTTGACACCAATACATTTTAATAGCAATGACTGACTCCGATTTGAATCAGAAAAAATTTTAGTTTCAATCTCAATTTTAACAATTTCGGGTATTTTAGTTTGAAAGCTAAATTATACCGTTTAGCGCGATTTAAATACTGATTAAGCATAAACATGTCTTTCCCCCATTTTTAATAAAGTTTAACAACTTCACTACCCCCACCAATTTACAGTTTACCCTTCAAAAAATTTTTACCCCAGAATAGGTGGCGGTGGCTCAACGTCACCCCCCATTTTTTCAACCCCCTCCAACTACACATGGGAAACGGGGAGGGGGTTCAATCATCAATACTCCCCATCCCCATCTCTACTAATACATAACCCCCCTCCCCGTTCAAAAATTACCCCCCTCTCTGCGAATGACGGTTGTGTAAAAACACTAACACAGAATTAAGCTCATTTAAGATTATAGCAATCTATGGAACGTTATAAGTAGCAACTGCACTAAGCAGGCGATAACTTTGAAAACAAATGTAAATTTCATGAACAACCTCTCAACAAAATCCATTTCAATCTATTATAACCGATTATAATGGATTATATTGACTTAAAAACATACAAGGGATTAAAACCTTTTTTAAATGAATTATAATCAATCGTAATGAATTAAATTAATATAAAACATAGTAAAATTTTAGTTCACTTTTTGTAATTTTATTGATATTCACCATTTAATAACAATATAATCGGTTATGATCCATGGGCACTCAGTGCGGGCAGCAAGAAGTCTATATATATTTTTTCGATTACATAATTGTGCAACAAAAATTATGCGAAAAGTTGCTCTCATACTTGCACCGATGCCATAATGTTTGGCTTTTTCCTTCCTTCAGTTCTTTGAAAGTTTGTTGAATTTTCGCTGTGAACAAACCGACTAAAAATTTACAAAAAATTGGCAATGAACTTTCCTCAGCCTCCCCTTTACCAGATTCGAGATTTCGCATCCCCCTTTTTACATCAATTGAACATGCTGAACTGTTTTTAACCAGATTTTGCTCCAAATTTTGCTTTCGAATACGCGAATTGATCATTTTGTGAGCTTTTTTTGAATAATGAGCTATTTTCATTATTTTTTATTAACTTTTCAGGAAGGAAAAATCTGACACGAGAAAACATCGGCTGAAGAGTTTGACCAGTCAGGAAACTCCGGTGAAATCACCGTCTGGAAGTGGGGTGGTGAGTCCTCATCAGCATCAGCAGGACAATAAAGGAAAGGCGTCAAAATATCTTCACGAGGGGGACAACTTCAAAGAAATGCAGAAGGAATTGAAGACGAAACGAAATGCACCCAAAGAATGAACCCTATAAACCCTATTTTTATATGCAATCCACTTATAATATTTATAAAGACACTCAAGAAAGGTTTGAAATTGACAGGAATTTTGTATTATATACGTTGGAAAGTACTATTTGGGCTATGCGACATTATAATTTAACGAATCAATCTTTAATGTTATTTTTAGAGTAGAGATATTCTTTCTAAGGAGGAAATTTGATGTAGATTTCAAAGAAATCAATGAAGTTATTGTCCCAGGTTTGTCACTAAAAAAGTTTTAAAAACGAAATATAATTATTATTATCGTTTTTTTTTCCACGCGTGAGACATCGATGCCCTGAAAACCCATTTAACCTTCTCAACTTCAAGACTGATGTAAAATTTACAGATTAGGTTAAATTGAGTGCAATTGTTTTAGATCTTCCAAAAATATTGCTTTTGGGGGAGTATGAAACCCTCACTTTTGTTAATTTGGTACTTTTATTGTTGTTGCGACTTTCAAAGAAAGTGACGGACTATTTGTGCTCGGGGTGTTTTTCTTCTTCAGACAAATTTCGACTTTTTAAATAGCCATTTGACCAATTTTTTTGTCATCTGAAAAGTATTGTTGTCCTAAGCTCAATTTTAAAAAGATATTTTACCTGTGATCATTTTTCGCAAAGTTATAGGGGTTTAAAGATTGCCATTTTGGCCAACTTGGCCAATTTGGGACAATTAACGCGCGAAATGTTTCGCGCTTCAAACGCGTAAGCGGATATTTAATCCCTCTTAGAGATCGCTGCAGAGTGGAACGAGGCATGATTTTTGGACTACTTAATACTTTGTTATAGACGATATGTACTCTTTGCATTGTCAAAGCATGTGGGGTGATGATTTTGAAAAAAACTCGAAAAAAAGTTAATTTTTCATTTTTATTTGATTTTTTTTGAAAAGAATCATACTAAAGAATCATATATATATAATCAGATAGTTTATAGTAAACCGGGCAATCAGGTGACTTATATGGTTTTTATAAGTCATAAGAATTTTTTTCCATAATCATCAAATAGAAAAAACAGTGCCGGCCTAACTTGCTTGGAACTAAATTAGTAGTAGGTTTTTTGTTTGTTTTTTCAAGCAAGTTTGGCAATATTTTGTTATTGTGTTATAAATCCACCTTCTTTTTTTAAAAAAGATATTTGGTTTTTTAGAAAGATAATCTTTTTGTTTGAAAATATTTTACTAAGCGCTCATTGCTGGTTGAATGCTTAGTAATTTTATCCTAATTTATAAGTCTCACCTTAGATCGTCAAATTGTCTTGACAAAAAGTAGAGTAGAAACAATAGTTAGAAAAGGTATGAATTAATTAGTTGGTTGGATACAAAGCACTGGGTTATTAGATTATATAAACGAATCGAACAGCTTAAAGAAATATACCTATGAGGGGAGGTTGAGCTAATCTTATTTTGTTCATCAATTTTTTATCTTCTTACTAAGGTCGGTGGCTGATTAGTATGTATGGTTGCCCTTGATGTTTGTCCAAGTCAGCACTTCTGGTTGGGTCGTCTGAATTGTCTTGCCGTAGTCCTTTGGGTACTTGTAGTCCAGACTTCCTCGGGGGTGCGTATCTCGATTATCTCGATTTATAATTTTTCAAATCAAACTTAAAATGAGAATTTATTCTCTTTTTATAAATGAAAAGGGCTAGATTAATTTTAGTGTTAGGACAGAAAAGAAAAATTATTTATTTTTAAAAGATCTGACTGAAGAGAAATGACTTGCTGCTGACTGAGCAAAATGAAACACTGAAGATTTCAGGCCAGTCCTTTTGCTCGTAAGCATTTAATTATTCAGATTTCACCTGCTCCTTTGTTCTCCCTTTCTAATAAGGGAATTTTCAACTAGTTTTTATTTGATTTTTTCAAATCAAATATCTTCAACTTATTAGTCCCCTTTGATGAAAACCGCAGCCTTCAGTTTGTCTTATTAAAAATTCATATTACTCTCTCTGATGCATCATATTGCAGGTGCACCTCTGCTTAATCAAAGCAAGGAGAATTTCAGTGCAGCCGGCAAGACTGCTAAATATTTATCCAGTTTGTTTCAAGTTAAGTTAAAAGGGACGTATTAATAATCGCCGCCCTTTTAAAATATTGAGCATGAAAAAATGAGAAAAATTGGACAAGTATTTAAAAAGGAGTGGATTTTAAAAACAAGATTTTATATTCCTAATAAGAGTAAATCAGTCAATATCTGATTTAGTGAAAAGAGGCTTTAATTTAAATGGCACGCTCCAATTTAGAATAAACAATTTAGACAATGGTCTTTTGTCTGTGTAGTATTTCTCAATACTACAACTCACCCCTTTTTTTAAGAAAATTAAGCTGTTTGATTCTTACAGTTACCATGGTGAAAATTTAAACACTTTAATGGTTAAAAACTATAGTTATAAAATTTAAAGAGAACATCAAACGAAAAAGTTATAAAGATAAGTTAGGTTTTATCTAGAGCTTCCTTCCGGATTCAAGCTCCACATTGTATGATCTGAGGATCGCCATCTTCCTCTGTGAAGCCTCAAGCTTTTGTTGCAACTTCACGATTTTCTTCTTTTTAATTTTGTTTTTGATTCGTAGTCTGCTAATTCCGTCCGTAAGTTGTTGAATGTCATCCTGTTCTTCCTGTCTGTTTTTTACATGGTTCGGAAAAGCAGTTATTCCCTCGAACGGAATGGTGACTTGCGTGCCTCCTGCCTTGAGGATGTAGCCGTGTTCCTCCCTCTTCTTTAATTTCCAGAAGTTGTTTTCGTTCTTTATAACCACTTCTGGCTGAGTTATGAAATCGATAGGCATCATCGCCTTTTCCATTGTCGTTGAGTTGGCGACTTCAATGAACGATGGCAGTTTCCATCTGTTATAATTTTCCTTTATTGAGTACTTTAAACTCGTTATATATTTTGGATTTTCCGTATCTAACTTGGTTTCTCTGCACTTCTGCAGTTCCAATCTTTGGGTTAAACTAGGAAAATTGCGAGGGTTCTTATTTAACCCGTCGTCTATTGACAAAGATTGAACTGCTAGAGGTTTCCGTTGTTTCTGCCTGAGGGGCAGCTTTCTTTTGAACTCCTCTGGTGCTGGGTCTGCGTTTCTGCAATTCCAGTTTAAAATTGGGTCGTATTCCATTTTGCTAAACATCAATATAAAATGACCAAATTTTCAAAATCCCGAATTACATTCGGATATTAAGGCTAATTATCAAATGTTTGAACGACGAAGGACAAAGTGTAAAATTGTATATATATATAAAAGGTGGAAAATATAATCTTGTGGTTTCACACAAACCCACCACGGAAAACAAATGAAGAAAGACGATCATGGTGTTTGTTAACCACAGGAATACAAAACAAGAAAGACGATCATGGTGTTTATTAACCACAGGAATAAAGCACTTTACAACACTGAGTTAAGCTCAGATATTAAACTTATGTAGTTAAAGCAAAAAATGGAAATTTGGGCATTAATTAACCCCTAATCTTAAATGTATGTCCACCTGGTTGTCATAACCAGCAATTTTCGTTTCATTTTTTGATAATAATTAGAAAAGATTTGAATTAGAATCAAATCAAATGAAATATCGAAGAAAAGGAAAATTAAACAGACAAATTGCAAACTGTATAATATTCAAAAAGATAAGTGTATTAGTTTCTCTTTGGTTTTAATCCTCTGCATCAATCCATGTTCACATCTATAGTACAGAAAGTCATCCTGAACTTTATGATGCAAAAATTTAACGTAAACAATCTTAAGGATGATGCGGTCCAATTTTCAAAGTGTTGCTTCTGAAAATTTGTTGTTTTTAAGAGTTTAAATGCCTGCATGTTGTGGATTTTGAACTACCGAATTGATATTTTGGCCAAATTGTGAGGAGTGAATCATAAGAGTCTCAAAGGCTGCATACAGCCACCAACAAGCATTTGCTTTGTTGAAAGAATATGGTACCATAATTTTAAAAAGGCTACATGAAGCCACCAACAAATGCTGGCATAAATCTGCGGCGGGTCGGGTCGAAAAACGTTTGTTCGCCCATTTTATGATAAAGAACATTGATGAAAACTTTACTCAATGTGTTAAGAAGAAAGGAGGTGAAATTTCAATTTTTGATGAATTTCTTCTAGTTTGCATTTTGTAACTTGAAAACTACAAAGATAATAATTTTTGTCATCGGTCCCTACTTGGGCCCTAAGAAGAAACCGATGGTGCAAATTAACTTCGCAGAATGAGTTTGTTACAATTTTACATTGGCTAGTTCTTTCATCAAAGGTTTCACTCTATTAATTCTCGTTTTTGTACGTAGGGTAATTTGACATTCCCCTAAGTGTAATACTGAATTTTCAGTTAATAAAACCGCCTGAAAATGAAATTATTATAGACTCGTAAAACTGTGATATTTTAAACTCCTGGCCTTTTGCAATTTTTTTTTTTTTTTGCAAATATGTTGAAGTCGAAAAACTTTTTTGTCTGAGCCATTGGTTTCCGATCCCTTTATCTTTATTTGATTTTGAGGATGGTCCAAAATTGTTAGCGTACTTGACTGTTTTCGATCTCGGTTAAGAATTAAATCCGTGTTCATGCATTTTGGCATATCTTTTTGGGTGTCATACAGAATTGCTATTCATTGTAGTATAATTGTAGGATAATACTCGTAATCTTATTTTTTGGTAAGACTAAATTAGATTAATATTTTAAAGCAGGAAGAAACGGGTTTATTTTATTTCTATGTTTTCAAACGTTTGGCCTATTACCCCTTTGTTTATATCTACTTTTGATGCTCTGGAATTTTTTAGTACGATAGGCATTGACTTAATTTCATTCCTACAATAAGTGCTTTGTGCATTGATGCCTTTTTGTTCTAAGGACTTATCAATTCTAAACGATGTTCCTACTTTGAAAACCATGCCTGCTGGAGAAATTGAAATTACGCGGGATGATTTTGGTGCAATAGTTATATTTTTATCAAGAAGTACATTTTGATAAAAGCTTAGATATGGATAACTTTTGCTTCTTACAACACTGATAGGAACTGTTATATCTGGGTATTTTTTTAATTCTAAGTTTAAAGTTGGAAGGTTTATTGATTTAATGTTGTGAGAAATGAAATCCATTCCTAATATATTTAGATCGCAGCCATTCTTGGCTAAAATCCATGCTTTTATTTTTACCGGATTATCAGTGTTTGTCCCAAAAGTTGAGTCAAAGTTAGTATAACCTATAAGTTTAAGTTTTTCTCCATTAACAGCAACTGTATTTGATCTACATTTATTCAGCTGTAAAGGCTGTATTTTAAAATATTGTTCATAACTGTCAAAATTAATAAGCGAACATGTTGCTCCAGTGTCTAGTAGAAATTGGGTTTCCAGACCGTTATTTTTATTTTTGTCTCCGACGGGATGTTGGAAAAGTTAATATATAATTGTATTTTTGGTTCAGACGGAGACTGATCTAGTTTAAATTCACAAGTTCACACTCATTATTGGTATAGTCTCCTGGAATGTCATCATTACTAAAGTTGTGGATCTGGTAAGGTGAATGATAATCGTTATATTCGTTGAAGGGTTTTTTACTGTTCGACCTGTCACGTGATTGAGAACCTTCATTGAAGTTTGTTAAATGCCTGAATTCTTGTTGGGGATTTATGTCATTGAATTTGTTGTCTACTCTTGACCTACTCTTACTATAGTAATGGTAACTTCTGTTTGAATTCTCTCTTAATTGAAGCGAGTCATAATTTTGCTCCTGTTCATCGTTATATTTTAAGCAACGTCTTATCGTATGGCCTGAAATACAACACCAGTTGCAAAACATTGGGTTGTTTTGTTTGTTTCTATGATCATGTGGGGTATAAGCTGCGTTTATTTTATGATCCTTCATTAGTCCTGTTAACTCTTTAAGCTGACCCTTTATTCCTTCGATCTCCAACTTATTATCAACACTACTTGAAGCTGTTCCAGTAAACTCACTACTTACTGCAAAACTTAAATCTTTTGTTGCAGTATGATCTTTTAATTGTTGCCATGTTGCGGGTGGATTCTCAATTCGGAATTGATGAGCCTTTTGTTTCAAGCCTGGCGGGCTTAAGCCGCGTACAAAGAATTCCATTTTCTTTGCTGTTCTTTGATCATCATTAAAAGTTGGATTAGGCCATCCACGGTCTACTGCGGTGCTTAATCTATGTATGTAGCTTTTAATGAATTCATCAGGTTGTCTTTTTATGTTTTCTGCTTCTATTCGTCTCCTATACTTGTCTTTATCATCAGTGAATCTATCTATGAATTGATCTCTTATATCATTCCAAGGTAAGTTTGCTGCTAATCCCTGATACCATTGAGCGGCTGGACCTCTTAATATTGAACCAAATAAGGCTCTTTGTCTGTTATCATATGCGTCTTGTTCGTCACCTGCATCTCCTGGTCTAGTGCCTAGGGAAAATGCTATCTTTTTCTCTACTATATCAAGAAAATCTCTTGCATCTTCATTCGGATCTAAGCCGGTAAACTTTTCGAGAGCTAAATCTGGGTATGCTACTACGTTTGCCATCTTTGTTTAATTCACTCAATGTTTTGTTAACAATATATAAAGGGTTTGGATGTGTTGTGTACTGATCAATTGTACGGACTGAAATAATTGTATTTAAGTTACAATGAAGTTTGCTGGGTTCAATGAATACGAATTTTTGTTAGATAGATCAATAGTGCTATGGGGCTGTTTAAGCTTTTTTAAGATAGAAGTTATCTCTGGGGTATTGCTGCTGGAGAGAATGGTTAATTCGTGAATATTTTTGTGTGGGTGTTTGGACAAAATTGTGATTTGATCTTTTTGGATATTGGTGATATACCAAATAATTTTTGTGGATTTTTTTTTAAATTTTAGTTTTAAATTAAATGCTGTTGTATTTACTTGATAAAAGTTGGTCATAGCGTTTTACATCATTTTAGGGACATAAATATTTATTTAGGGAGTGATAAACAATATAAAGAATATTTAAATTTTTCTAATGAAATTGGAATGAACTTGTAATGTTTTTAATTTTTACGTTGTTTGTTTTCTTTTTCTTAAGCTAAGTTGTACTATTTGATTAGTATGTTTTAGAGTAATGAAAACCTCTTAGGAATTTTTGAATATTAACAAAGGTTATTAATAATAAGATAAGGAAATAAAAATTTTCTTTGGAAAAAAAAATTTTTCTAAAATTTTTTCTAAGTTTTTCAAGTTTTTTATTTGCTGATTCCTTAACTGAAACCTAAAACTTTGTTCAAGTGAATCTTTTTTGATGCTATGGTATGGTTAGCAATATAACTATATGCCTTTATTGGTTATTATTGGTTCAAAACTTAATTTTTTTGTTAAAAATTTATAGAAAATTTTTTGACTGAAACGATAATCTGAAACCTGAAACTATGGTAGCTGAAGTTGAGTTTTTTTAATCTTAAAATTCTCTATACGCTTTATTATATCTGGTTTTTGCTTTATCTTGCAAAAAAATTCGAGAAAACCGAATCTTTTGATATCTTAAACTTAGTTTTTGAAAACTCAAACCTAAAACTCTTAAACTCTCTCAAACTCGGTGCATAAAAATAAAAAGTTGGTTTTTGATAGCTGGTCTAGTGTAAATTAGAATTTTGAACAGGTTTGTAACTTCAAAATCAAAAATTTGTTTGCGGAAACCTAAGTTTTTGCGGCTGAAACTATGATTTCTAGAACTGAAACTATGGTTTGACCACTTGGTTTTAGAGTTTTGAGATTGAAAATTTAGGTTGGTGTCTCTAATATATATCTATTCCAGCAATAAAATTGCCAAAAAGATGAAAATTTTAGCTTAAAACGACGATTTTAGTTTTCTGAAACTATAAGTTTGAGGGCTCAAACTAACACCTTCTAGAAGTTTTTTGAGTTTAAAAATTTGTTAGTGCATTAAAGATTCTTATTATCTTTCAATATTTCACAAAAATTTTTCTCGGGAAGCAAGATTTTTGGTTCTGAAACCAAAAACACCAATTCTGAAACGTACGTTTCAGCCTTAGGAACCAAAATTTAAAATTGGTTTGGTGGGTTTTAACACCGTTAGTTTTCTCTAGAAAGTCAAAATTTTTGTGTTCTGAAACCTGAAACTAACAAAAACGTACCATTTAAGACCAGGTTTTTGACTTATGGTATCCAAATTTGGGTTTGACTAGTTCAACTTTTGCTGTTTTACCCGAATCCGTTTACAGAAACTTAAAATTTTGACCGGAAACTATACTTATTTTAACTAAAACGTTTGACCCTATAACTGAAACCTAGACTGAAACCAAAAACTTTGGCTGGTAAAAATCAATTTTTTTGTGCTTATGCTATCATATGAAACCTATTTTATCAATATAAAGTGGATGTGTCAGTGTTTTTGTTGTGAAACCTGATATTTTTGTGCTGAAACTAAAACTTGGTGTTTGGTGTTATGTGGTTAACGTTTAAGATTGGTTTTAAAGCGTAATCTTATTATTTATTAGGTGTATAATTAAACTGTGTCAAAGAAAACTAATGATTTATTAAAAAACACCCAAATCCGTTCCTTCCTTCGTGGTTTTTGTTACTATCTTCCTTAGTTTCAGTAATTGGTAGCTTTACTGATGGATGATTTAGGTTTAAGTTATCTTAAGGTGGATAGAATTAAAATTAGTTTAAGAAAAATTGAGGATAAGCCTCGAGAAATGATGAAGGATTAGAATAAATAGCAACAAGCGTGGATGGTTTGAGATAATGTGATGAAGAATTCAATTTATCATACAATTTAGGGTACTCTTAGATCGCACATATGACCACTTAACCCCCTCGAAAAAATAATTGAAGATATTTAATAAGTTTTTGAGCAGTTTAGTTTAATACAGAATTTCGTTAATTTTAGTGATGATAACTTTAAACTGAAGTTTCGGCAAAAATTTAGTAGATTACTGGACAAAACGGTTATGTCTTACTAGCGGACTTAGGCAGAGAACGATTCTTTCAGAAATTTTATATATTATTATAATAATAGATAATAGTTAAGTTCATGAGCTAATGTCAGTTAGAAAGCCGTCTAATAGACCTCGAGATGGAGGGATATCGTGGGCGACTGCTAGCGCAGGGGATGCATTTCGCAAGAACCCTACTAGGAATATCTGTCAAGTAGAAGACAATGAAATTGTGTTTCTATCGAAAGATACCCATTGTCTCTGGCTTTTTGAGGTTGGAAACTAATCTGACAAATACTCACAGATCCTAATAATAATATATTTTTTGAGTTTTAAAAGCTGTTTCGAGTTTGTTGGAAAAAGAATTTCTTAAGGAGTAGTTCTCTGCTGCGGTCGCACCAGTTTTACTAAGCGCTCATTGCTGGTTGAATGCTTAGTAATTTTATCCTAATTTATAAGTCTCACCTTAGATCGTCAAATTGTCTTGACAAAAAGTAGAGTAGAAACAATAGTTAGAAAAGGTATGAATTAATTAGTTGGTTGGATACAAAGCACTGGGTTATTAGATTATATAAACGAATCGAACAGCTTAAAGAAATATACCTATGAGGGGAGGTTGAGCTAATCTTATTTTGTTCATCAATTTTTTATCTTCTTACTAAGGTCGGTGGCTGATTAGTATGTATGGTTGCCCTTGATGTTTGTCCAAGTCAGCACTTCTGGTTGGGTCGTCTGAATCGTCTTGCCGTAGTCCTTTGGGTACTTGTAGTCCAGACTTCCTCGGGGGTGCGTATCTCGATTATCTCGATTTATAATTTTTCAAATCAAACTTAAAATGAGAATTTATTCTCTTTTTATAAATGAAAAGGGCTAGATTAATTTTAGTGTTAGGACAGAAAAGAAAAATTATTTATTTTTAAAAGATCTGACTGAAGAGAAATGACTTGCTGCTGACTGAGCAAAATGAAACACTGAAGATTTCAGGCCAGTCCTTTTGCTCGTAAGCATAAACCGGCGGCTGATTCAATCTTTAATTATTCAGATTTCACCTGCTCCTTTGTTCTCCCTTTCTAATAAGGGAATTTTCAACTAGTTTTTATTTGATTTTTTCAAATCAAATATCTTCAACTTATTAGTCCCCTTTGATGAAAACCGCAGCCTTCAGTTTGTCTTATTAAAAATTCATATTACTCTCTCTGATGCATCATAATGCAGGTGCACCTCTGCTTAATCAAAGCAAGGAGAATTTCAGTGCAGCCGGCAAGACTGCTAAATATTTATCCAGTTTGTTTCAAGTTAAGTTAAAAGGGACGTATTAATAATCGCCGCCCTTTTAAAATATTGAGCATGAAAAAATGAGAAAAATTGGACAAGTATTTAAAAAGGAGTGGATTTTCAAAACAAGATTTTATAGTCCTAATAAGAGTAAATCAGTCAATATCTGATTTAGTGAAAAGAGGCTTTAATTTAAATGGCACGCTCCAATTTAGAATAAACAATTTAGACAATGGTCTTTTGTCTGATATAATGTTTTATTTAAATTTTTCTTTTGTTTTTGATCACCTTCACGCAACAAAACTAATTGTAACAAAGATGGCAGGTTACTGTGCAACTAGCAAAGAATGTTCTTACCACAGTCTTAGAAAAATACAAAAAATAATTTTTGTTTTTTAATTTAATGTCGTTTTTTTCTGCATGGTGTGATAAAAAGATGTAAGCGAAATAATACTAGGCATATTTGAAAATCTTAGTAATAAAGCCCATTCAGAAAACAGTTTTTGAAGAAAATTGTTTAGAAAAACGAAAAAAAAATCAAATTTTTCTGCCGAAATTTTGGGAATTTTTTAACCTTTGTTCACAAATGGTTCTAAAATCCTCCAAAAATTAATTTTATCTGACAAAAACTAAAAAGTAAGCTCAAATAAGCTATTGTAAGCCTACTCGCTCACACTATTAGTTCGAAGTTAGACCAAAAGTTTTGAAATATTTAAATGTCGTTAGAATCACGATTGAAAGTGCTTCAATATGATATATCACTCGACGCATTCCGATAAATATTTTTGGTACCTGACTTTGCGCGGAAAACAAATGTTAAAAAAAGAAAAAAGAAAAAAAAGAAAAAAACTAAAACACACCCGAAAACAAAGTTCAAACCAATTTTTAAAAGGGTCGGAACAAAAATACAAGTTTCATAATTTTAAAAAAAATTTAAATAGCTGTTTCGCTACTTAAAGTTGTTAGTGAGTTCCTATCTCTTCGTTTAAAAAAATCAGAAGCTTGAAATTTGAATTGAAGACAGAGATGGCTTTTCAAGGAGTGATGGATATTGCTCGTCTGTCTCGTTGTGTGAAGCCAAACCCCTCTTGCACTGGTAGCTATGCATTCCAAAAAGTAGACCATTTTTGAGGATCAGATGTTTAGTGTGCCTAAAATCACAGACTGTCTCGAAAATCCAATGAATGTTATTGAAATTTCAAAAAAAGGTTGGGTATTTTACCAGAGAAGTCCACAACGGATTTGGAATCGGCGATAGACGGTTCAAAAAGCTCTTTTCCTTGTTCCTTCAGGGATTTCGAAAAGGAAGAAAGTTGTGGTCGGCTTCACGTCGTCCCGTTGCAAATCGAACCCCCGGCTGTCAGTGTCATGATAACCTCATCTGCGAGTCATCAACTTGACTCATGAGCGGTTTCTTTGCCATTGTCTGTTGCCGATTTGGTGGTATACGAGGAAAATTAGCTCAACCTCGTCTGAGACACGAGGAGAAGTCGTTTTATTTGAAGTTCGTTTCTGCGAATCTCGGTAGTTAAATATCTGATGGCCATCAAAATTGAGGAGACAACATCACCTGAAGTCCAATAAAGGTCAAGCATATTTGGCTTTTGAAGTGGAGAGAAAAAATTACGACCGTTGTCGTGAACCATTCGAAGCGGTTTGAAAGATTCTAGATTTTATGTCTGGATGTAAAACTATTTTCTTCTATTTTTTCGCTTCATACTATGGTTCTAATGGGTCCTGCTAGTCATAACAGAAGTCATCCTAGTTCCGGGTAAATCCAAGTTGTACTAGAGAAAACTGGCAAAAAAAGAAAACTCCTGGAACATTAAAGAACAGTAGGGTTTAGAGAGAGTCCATCAATTGGAAGCCAAAGTTTTCAAAAACCTCTCCACTAATCACATTGTCTGGAGCAGCGCTGGAAAGAGAGTGGAGAAACTCTCGAAGAACGACAATGAAGATCATATGAAAGTTTCAAGGAAGGGTTTGAGGAAAAGCAAAAGTCTGAGCCTGTTCACCTGTTTTAAAGAACTCGCTAAGGAAACTTAGTTCTGATACTCCTAACCAGACAGAATTTTGTCAATGACACTGGCGGGAAAAAAGGCTGAAAGAGACCCTGTGCAGTCTGCATTATGATTGGGTGATGTATAGAGTCAGGCACGGTTTTAATATGTTCCGGTGGAGTGCTGATTTGACTATATCTGCCAATGTAACCCATCACAATGAACATGTATATACACACCATAAAAACATATACATACACACATGTATATACACACATTTCCATTGAACCGACATACATGTATACACACAAAAAACTTGAAAATACACATATAACTTTTATACACACTTTCCCATTGAACATACATATACACACAAAAAACTTAAATATACACACATATATTTATACACACTTTCCCATTGAACATACATATGAACACAAAAAACTTAAGAATACAGACATATATTTATACACATATTCCAATTGAACATACATATACACACATGAAATAAAGTATATAAATCTGCACTTCGCCGGAACAGGTCAAATCCGCGCCTGACCCATTTTCATCCAACAATATATTTAATCTAAATTATAATTAGTCTTGAAGATGCATTGTTATTCTAGCACTCTTTTTTTGAAATGGACGAAGCAGTTACTTATTCTTCGAACACAAATCGTTGAATGGCCTTGTCTATTAAATCGTTTTGAAATTATTAGAAACATTTTGTTTTCCAACCTTTTGGCTGAATCCTGAGTAACAATTCATATCATGACAATTCTTTTATTCCTGATTTTTGTATCGACGATATCCCCACTGTTCCCTGTAGGTACATACCCAATAATGCTTTTTGTGTGACGTTCTTTTATCAGTAATTTCGCTCGTTTTGCTTCTATGCCTGCCTTCAGTACCCCAGATTAGAAAATTGGGTGCCTGTTGTACTCCTCAAAATTTGCTGGTAGAAATAACTTCTTCGCCGGGATAAATATTGTTTTTTTGATGTGTCCATGATAAAATTGAAAAAAGTTTCTCGTATCTACCCTTATATGGACGACGTGTTCATCTATTTGATCAACCGTTGCAGTTCCTGATTTAATCGAAATAAATTCAAATTTCTCACAGGAGTCTAAATCTTAAACCAAGTTGCATGCCTGATATTTTTATGCTGCTTCTACAACCTGTTGAGATCTGCACATATTTTCAAAATAGTTTTGTTTATTGGAGTTGTTGCACGTTTTTTTTTCAAGGGCTGGTCTATTTTTAAATGAGTGTCTGATAAAGTTTTCCCAAATCTGTTTGATAGTCTTATCTCTATTTTGATTTTCCTGTCCTTGGAAGGAATTTTTTCACTTTTCTGATTGTTCCTTTCTCTGAAAACTCGTTTGCTATTTGGGTTTGAGTTCCTGGTTGCCATGATAGGTTGATGTTTTTCTTTCTGGGCTCGATATAGATAATGCTCTTTCAGCTATGGCGCTTGTAATTGAAAGGCAAGAGTCGGAAGTTTAGTGTGTTCAATTTGAAACAAATGTTTCTCATTTTTGAAATAAACGAGACGCACAATAACTATTCCGCCTAGGTGCCCAGTTCTACTCTGGCTGCTTGCGCAGTTAATGCCGCGTGAGTTGCCTCAAAGGATTTC